TATATATATATATATAGTGTATATAACATTGTCAATAGTTTAGTATGCGTTATATGTGTTATGTATTTAGCAATAAATTATATAATAAAAATTTTTTTTGCTAATTGATCACTTATCTAATTATTAAGCGATTAAGTAATTATCTCAGTTACTGATATTACAATTAGATTGATTCAATAAGTTAAAAAATAAAAATAATTAGTAATAATTTCTTGAGAAAAAGAGAGAGAGAGAGAGATACTAATACGATCCGTAGAGAGCTAAGTTTAAATCTATTTTCGTGGATAACAATTTCTGTCGGTTTTTAGAGTAGCCTAGTTTAGCGAAAAATACGAGTGAGAAATATAGGTGTATCCGGTACGTGTTTTTCACGACGAAAACACGTTACATAACGACCAGCTGGAGTTTAGGTCGGAAGTGTTCGTACATTGTTCGCATCGAGATTGATGTCTAACTAAACGAGTTAAATTTAAACGGGAGCTCGAAAATGATGGACGGCTTTCTATATTGGCACACATCGGTTAAAGAGTGAAAGCTCTTAATCGCGCGCAACAGTTCTGGCAGTTCCCAGAGTCGAACGAGTTTTAGAATAACACGATGCATCTTGCAATTTCCAGTTATGCTTAATGGACCGAGGCATATTAATTACGCAACGATCTTGAACCTGTCAATACTTATCGCGTTTCGATTATCCGGCGAGGGTCATTTTCGTCAGGAAGTTACGTCCAATATTCAGAATGCCTTAATATAACTCGAGGTAGCGGAATTCGTTATGTACTCCCCGAGAAATATTAGCCGATGGTGGGATCTCGTTTTCTACCAATCCTGAAGCAGAAGATGGTCGATGGAAGGTGCGACACGGTACGCGCGAATGAGCGGGTGGGGTTGGTGATGGTTCCTGGAGGAATTTCGGGATCACAGAGGGTCCGAGTGCGCGGATCCTGCGCCGCGTGATCTAGTCTATCATTGCACGTAAGACGGCGAGGAACGCATTTCTGAATTCGAGTTATCTCGAAAAAAAAAAATCGATAGTTTTGTGTTTTTATATATAATAATAACGATTACAATCAAAAATAAATTCTGAGCATTATAGCAAAATTTCGTTCAAACGTTTGCAAATTGTGATAATTCAAGCATTCGTGAGTATCGTCGTTATTTCTTGAATAAACACCGATCAATTGCCTGCAATGAGATTGATAAAAATAATAGTAGAAAATATTATAATATTACATATACAATTTAATTGTAAAATACTGGAAATTGGTTCAATATTTAAAAAAAAGATAAAAATTAATTATTTTGCTTTAGCTTATATATAAACTTACGCAAAAAAATGATCGATTGATTCGTAATCTATATAGAATATGAGTAGAATAAATTTATCGGATAATAGTAAATATAATGAGTAATGAATTTAATATGCGACAATAGAGCGTGCTGTCTATACCGATTAAAAAATGCCACAAGCGGCCCACGAGACGAAGAACATATTGATGACGTACTTCATTCTTATTCTTCTATTAATTTCACTTTGGGTATTATACTCGGGGTTATTCTTTTAATCACAGCAGACATTCCTCATTATGGTAAGTTATTATTAATAAATATATTTAAATTTTTATTTTACATGCTAATTACTTACTTATATCAAGTAGGTTTTTAGATTAAAATTTTTTTTTCTTTCGTATAATTTTGATTTTAATATAAGTATTATAATATGGAATGGTTTCCGTTTCCTTTAAATGTATATATTAAAATTATTTGAATTATATAGATATTTTTTCTCATATTCTCATTTTCAAGATAAGTTCGTATATGTATACATATATAAAAAATCACATAAAACAAGACTACAATATTGAAGATATTGTTACGTTGGTCATTGAAATCTCCGAACAGTAGGCACAATTTCATTATTCATTGTAATTTGACAATAATCCTATTCATCTTATGATCGTTTTCTGTGCTACGTTTCATTATCGATTAATCACAATTGAATTATCAATAATATAAATTAAGGAAATATCTTGACTTGCACTTGATGATATCTTAAATATAAACGTCGTATTTTAGGGCTGAAAACAGAGAAGACATGCGTGTCAAAAGGCGGATGCATTCGAAGGATCCAAGATGGACACTTCATTCGGAAAGCTCACTGGTTCTCTCATCTTATTACTTATTATATTTTTTCTTGATGCCTGGAGATACATGTTTTACACAAATCTCTTTCGATCGTTTAGTGGCCGATTTTTACGATGAGAATTATTTAAAAATATTTGTATAATTATTTAAGAATTATTTAAAAATATATCAGAAAATAGAAAGATTTTAAAAGGCTTATTCTTTTCTATCATCTTGTATTTATTTTTTGCTATTCTATCGTAGAAATCGGCCAAAATTAAATACTTATATTATATAAATTATATCTTCTAAGAGATGATTAGCAATGAACATTTTTTTAAATCTAAACTTAAAACAATTTATTATCTTATTAGCATTTCTATATAAAATTTACATTGTCATTAAACTGTGTTCATTTGAGGTCACCGAAATAAATATATCAGTCTCACATGCGTTCATATAGGGTCCATATCGTTCATTTTACTCGTTTGATTACGATATCACATTTCTTTAAATTTGTTCGTAGTACATCTTCAATATATATACCATATACAATATATGATACCATAAAATAAATCTCTTCGTTTGAAATGCCGGCTGAAATTTATTTTATGACTTATTTTGTCTCTACAAAAATAATTTGGCATTACATACAGATTAGCTGTGATGTAACAAAACATAATTACGAAAAATGATTTTTGTGGCAAAATGCAACAAATACAGAATGTTATAGAAACGCGGAAGGTATGCGAAAGATACGTGGGCGTTTACTCCAAAAATAGTCGACGCTTCCAGCTCTCAAAGTTCGACCATACGTTCACGTAGAACTAAATCAGTATTTTCGACAGCATTCACGAAAATAGATGACGTGATTAGTACACATTTCAATGCTGGGTAGCAATTAGCGTGCGCTGCATTAACGAAAAGCTTTCAAATGTTGCATAAGGCTGAGATTTCTGAGATCGTATGACTTGAGTATCGAATTACTTGTTTGTTTTATTCGAAACTTCTGAAATATTCTTCACGATATAAATATCTACCTTCGCATCCACAAAGTATCTTCTCTTTTTCACACATCGTCTTATTCAACAATTTTTATGTCTCATATATTCGCGAAATTAAATATCAAGTTTACCGCCGTTTAACGTGTCGGGTGCTTTTATATTCTTTTTTTGCCATTTCTTTTATTTCGATAAATCATCTCTGTGATCTTCCGTGATCATATCGCAACATTTTATATCTGCATGTTGCTATTTCGAGCATATCGCTTATATTAATGCCAACATTAATAAACAGGTGCGTGCAGGTGTCGATGACGAACTATATATATTAAACGAAGTATATTTAATGAAAATTGATGCACACACATCACATGATACCACCGAGAAAAAATAAACCTAAAGGAGGATCAAAAATTATAATAGTATAGTTTATAGATCATATTTTTCTACACGACTTGGTTCTAAAGATTATCAGACATGATTATAGGAGACTCGTAGTAGTAGTAGATCTTTTCACGGGCGTGGACTTAAATGTTACGGCAGCGCTCCAGTAACCGCTCGAAATAGATCTAATCGTTCCAGATTTGTGATGCTGACGATGCGGCATTCGTGCGGCCGGTGCGGTGTCCTGAAAAACGTCGGCATAACGGTGGCAATCATTTTTCACGCAATTATTTTTCCGATTATACGATTAGATATATAATATATAATTAACAAATTGCGCAACATATATAGTTACATATATACATAGTTCTCTATTTTACATATAACATTAGATACATTTTATTAATAAAATTTCTGGTCGGTGATGATTATTTCGATTTTTTTTCCTTATAGTAAGAACGAAAAAATAATTCAATAAAATAAAAAATTTCCACGGCGCTTATAAAACTGGCTCCCAAGCAAAGACTAAATATGCCACCCACGGATGCTGAAAAAAAAATTTTAATTAAGACTTTAAAACAATTTATTATATGCCAATAGAAACAATTGTTTACCTAACAAATATAATTCATCGGCAATCGGTATTGTATTCATTTGTATAAATATTTCAGTATTAAAATATACTCTTAGAACAGCTTGCGACTTTGTAAGATTCGTGCTAGAATAAATAATACACATACATATATATGTATAGAGAAAGAGAGAGAGAGAGAGAGAAAGAGAGAGAGAGAGGAGAACAAAAATATTTTAAATAACATGTTTCTACATTATTTAATCACAACTTACTAAATCGGCAGAATATTGAAATCATGAACACCATTTAGTAAAAGTGAGGAAGTTCGTGTTTTGTAATATGTATTCGTGCATGGATTTCGACATTCACACGTAAAATTTTTTTCGACGGTATTATGAATGATCCGTGTATGATGTATGTTCGCGTTAAGGCATTCGAAATCTTGCCACTCGCAGATCTACAGAGGCATTAATATACAGATATATTAATATATGAAATACATACTGGAAAAGACTGATTTTTGAAAAAAATTTAAAATTTTACTCTTAAAGAATATTTATTTGCTATGGGTGTGTAATAATATGGCAAGCAATCACAGGCTTTTAGAACAGCCCTGATAGAGCAGCTAGTAAAACAGTTTAAATATCGATATGCAGGAAAATATTTCAATTCAGTTTTTTTGTCTGCGCAATGCGGAACCAATTCACCGCGTTCATTTCGATAGTAATATCCGGCGAGCTTCTCCTTTCTAGTTGGAATTGTAGCGATCTATGTATCAAACAAAATCACAAAGTAGTCAGATATTATGAAACATATTGGAGAAATGTTTAATTATTTTTCTTTATAATGTCGCATAAAGAAATTCAGACATATTTGTAAAAATATTTAATTACCCGCAATTCTTGATTTGCTTGTAAAATTTGTCTAGTAGATATGGGTCCGACAAAATCCTGAGGGTGATGAGTAAATATCTATTTTATAGACAAAAAGAAATATATATATATAATTAATATAACTTTGAATATATGCAATTGAAAACATGTAAAAAGCTAATATCTATGTACGAATGGTTTTAGTGACTATAAATTATGCATTGTATAAAAATATAACTATTTTGCATAATGCTTAAAAATGTTAAAAATAAAAAAGTGTTAATTTTTTATACCAAAAGACCGATGGAATTTGTTGCAAATTCGATGGGCTTGTCTCCCATGCCATCGCTATTAACTATCAAATCTCGTTTTGAAACAGCAATAAGACCGACTCTTGGTCCAAACAACACAGATCTGAGAAAATCAGTATACTCCCTGGCTCTAGTTCGATTGAAACAAAGTTACATTCGTAACACAATTATATCAATTTGAGTATAATTAAATGAACGTAATTACCTGCCGATTTGTATATCATCTTCGAGAATATAGTTAAAGGAACAACATATACCTGAATGAGTGTAAGATATTTTAAACAATTCGCTACAATTCTTTGCATTGCCGTCCCACCAACAGTACTCAAATAAGTCTTCGCAAGGTCGCAAAAGTTTTAAGAAATTTAATAATGTCATATGGTTTATTTTTAACAGTGCTTGCAAGTCTTTCAAGTATTTCCTACCACTGGCAACATGTTCGTTCGCAAATGAGGGCCCATATCTGAGAAAATATAAAAGTTTGTCATTAATTGTAAGTTTAGATAGTTTTTCTTTTTTCAAGAATTGGTAACATTTGTTTTTATATAAGCTATGTGTACATTGTTAATGAAAAATATACATACTTGAGTAGGAACATCGCCGTTTTGTTATCCATGTTGGGTGGCAACTGCAAACTTCGCAATACTTCTTCACGTCTTGCACGTAGCGGAGATACTAATGGACAAACAGTAACAGCTGGGAAAGGGACTATAGCTATTGGGTTGTAAAACGATTGAATAACAGTGCGAGTTGGATTAGTACTGTAACGTATCCAGGTTTTCCAAAACATCCAACTTAAAACTAAGAGAAAGAAATGATTTATATCTGATGAATCTTAATATATGTTAAATGTATTGTTGCACACTTATAATTAAAATATAGAATATTTTATAGAGTAAATAATAATTAGATCATTATAAGTAAAGCGTATATTTGTTATACCCACACGCGAAACTGCACATCATGATTAAAGTCCAGAAGATCTTCCCGAGGGCAGTGGATTTTATTCCACGTAAGTTGCGAAAGTATTTCACGCCGTGCAGAGAACTGTCATACAGATATTCTAGCAGAAAGTGACGGGCAATTTGTTTTGTACTTTCTGTCGATTGATCGTCATACGATTCGATGTTAGAGTGATCAAATAATCTATCATTTATCTTCTTCACGACATCTACTTGATCTACTATAATTCTATTCACTGCATGTCTTTTTGCCCGGGAAACGTTTAACATCATGACGCAGACACGCTAGAACGCTTACTTCTTAATATTTGTTCGGTGATCACTGTTGCAGAATGTTTCGCTTAACGCACCGACAATGTTTCTTCTACAATAAATTGCTTTATACTGTTGTTTGACCAGAATCATGTTGATTTTATCGCACCTAGAAAGTTATATTGTGATCAAACATGCAAACGTCGCGTGTCAAGGTTCACTTTATATTTTTTATTATGCTTTGCAAAATTAATCAAGTAATCAAGTAATCGATGGAAAACCATTATATTTTCTTATCAGATAAATACAGTATGTTCCTTGAGTGGATTTATTTTCTGATGATCACTGAAAGTATAAATCGATTTTATTATATTAATAGAATTTAAAACGCAGAGTAATATACACGACAACATAAGGTATTAATAATTTTTAAAAAATATGATGAGTAGAGAATTAAAATATACATATTCATCAAAAAAATATTATTCACTTTTTATTTACAGAATTTCACGAAAACAATGAAACGGAATGCCTAATCTAGAAAAAAACGCACACATACAAATAAATAAGCAATACGCAACCAAATATAAAAAATCATCTATATACAGAATAGAAAATTAATTATCAAACATATAGCAAATATCATCGAATTGTGATCACGTTTGCTCTATACCATAGAGTGAATTCTTTTATTTAGCGCCTTAGTGAATTTGCGTGCAAAATATTGTGACTATTTAACGATATCATCATACTATTGTCAAAAATCTTGGAATAGAGCTAATTGATCTGGTGGTAAAGGTGGTTGGGAACGCCAGTCGGTTTCAGGATAATCGTCGAAGCAGCTTGCATCACCTGGCGCTTTCACACGTGGCCTTATCGGAGGTGTCAAGGCTCTTTGCGGCACCTGTAAACATGGATCGATACTTTAACTGCGATTTTCAAAATATTACAAAGGATAGAGACACATGCATGCACGCATGATAATATTTATAAATATTATTATAAATATTTTTTATTTCTGTTATCTTTTATTTTATTTTATATTGCATTACGTGAATTTAATTAAATTGATATAAAATTACCAGAGGCCATTCGACTAATTTGAACCATCGATGCCTTTTAACATCTTCAGCACCCTGCCTCATATTTCCCAATCTTTTCGTACGGTCAGCGACCAGTAATTTCTTGATGAGATCTTTCGCGATAGGATCCATGTGTTTCGGCCATTCTATCCTACCACTCAGGATCTTTTCATAGATTCCGAAAGGATTGTCGTCAAAGAACGGCGGATATCCCGCCAACATTTCGTATATTAAAACGCCTAACGCCCACCAGTCCACAGCTTTGTTGTGTCCTTTGCTTTGAATTATTTCCGGCGCCAAATATTCTGGCGTACCACACAAAGTCCATGTCCTAAAAATAGATATATTAAAAAATAGATGTACATGATCTCGATGTGATATGAGCTCTTTATAAACAAGAATTAATTGAAACTAAAAAGAGAAGTAATATAAAAAGAGGAATATTAAATAAATATTACATAACACAATTTTTTGAATATTTAATACTATGTAGAAATAGATAATTTTTATGTAGAAATATATATTATATTAGATAACATTTTAATATATAGAATATTAAAAATTATTTAGAATAAATAGAGTATATATACTTTTTTATTTTTGCACATATTTTTATTTTTATTCGAAAAGATTTTATCAATAAGTAAATTATTCATAGAAAGGTGAAGGAAGACAATTAAGAGCCAGCGCGATAATTTATGCGTAAATTTTATTATAATCAAATTAACATAAAGTAACGACTTAAACTTAATAATAAAAAGCGTACGTTTTAATTCTATTTTTACCATTTTCAGCTCAATTAGAAATTAAATAAAGAACAGAAACCGAGCTGTCTTTTATTTAATTTGTAATTGCGTTGAAGATGGTCAAAAAAAAAAAAAAGATAGAAACATACGCTTTCTATTATTAAGTTTATCGCTACTTTATGTTAATATAATTTGATCATAATAAAATTTGCGCACAAATTACCGTGCTGGCTCTTAATTGCCTTCCCTCATCTCTGTGTGATATATTCGTAAGAGTCTTTATTGTTTTATTTTAATTTTAAGTAGATTATTTTTCTGAAATACTCTTTTTTTTTTTAATTGGCTCACCTATCCGTAAGTTTTTTCGAGAAGCCGAAATCGGTGATTTTCAAGTGTCCTTGACTGTCTAGGAGAAGATTTTCAGGCTTAAGATCCCTGTAAACTATGTGCTTACTGTGTAGATACTCTAGAGCACAAACTAATTCGGCCGCATAAAAACAGCTCGTAGGTCCGGCGAATCTTCCGGCCGCCCTTAGGTAAGAGAAGAGTTCTCCGCCGGCAACAAACTCCAGTAGCATGTACACTCTGGCTTCATCTCTGCCGTTCCATAGCCTGAAAAGACGACAGATCTGAAAACAAGGCGACAAGCTGGGTTGTTACGCGAGCAAAATCTCGACTTTCGCTCCTCTGATTGAAAAAGCGTTTTCCCTCGCGAGCGTATCGATTTCTCTCGCCTCTATCCAACTGTTTAATCGCGACTCGGTACAAACTAGTCAATCAGCATTTGTATGTGTCGCTCTCTCTAGTCCTGACCACGCTTTAACAATCTCCGCGTAAATCCTTTCCTTGACCGACAAATGCATTACTTTCTTTATTCCTTTGGATATGATTACATCGCATGTTTGAAGTCGGAAAATAATTACCGATTATTTTAAAATAATGTGTTTTTATATGTTTAATAATAATAACAAATATAATACTTACATGTTGACAATAAAAGGATGTTTAACTTCTTTCAGGATTGTGATTTCATTGCGCAAATGTTCGACTTGCTTTAATCTGATCACGTCGACCATGGAGAGGATTTTCAGAGCGAGAGGTGTTCCATGATGCCTGCAGAGAACCACTCTGCCGAATGTGCCAGTGCCTGGAAATTATATCAAAACTTGTAGATTATTATTAATTGGGATTCGCGCGCAAACTTATATATATATATATATATATCTATAAATCAAATCTGTAATGATCTCATATAATAATAATCTTTATTATCGTGAATTAAATTTGTAAAATGTTATGTTATGTTAACGCTCTTATTTGACGCAAATTTTTTTTTGTTAACGGATTATATTTTCTCGGTTTGTCTCGTCAATATAACAGAATAAAATAAAATGCAGTATAACAGGATTTTACGAATAACAAGTATACTTGCCATTGCGAAATCTTATTTACTACAACCGATTATTGAAATGACCGTTAATTGCCAACGCTCTCGACGTTCTTTTAATCTTAATGTGCATGCGCTCTGTTTGTAATGTACTTTCCCACGAATGCAGGTGACTCGGTTGTTCCAGTTAACGTACCGTGACCAATTAGCGCGCGCACAAATGAGCCCTAGCTAAATTAAACCTCGAAATTGATCATCATATTGCAGCGGCTCTCGCAAGATTTAGCATGTTTATGCGCATATATATTTATTCTGAAAGAGAGCAGTTTGTATCAAGTAGCGACGAAATTGGCTGCGTAGCAAGAGCGACGCGATACATACACGTCGTCTACCTACAGCTCGGAACAGGTGTCAAACGACGAAACGCTTCCGGTGATGGCGTAGTCGCTTTAAATAATCGCGCGACGGACACAAATTTAGGTATAACGTCGCACGAATAGTCACGAATAAAAATTGCCCGAGCGATACAGAAGACTAGAAGTCGTTTGAAAGATAAAGAAGAAAAAAAGATAATTTTTAGAAATTAAAGTTTCTTTTTTAGAGACGCTCACACATTATAATTCATCTCACGAATAACACCTGAGACTAAAATTTAAAAAAAAAGAAAAAATTTCGTACAAACACAGATACACCCACATACACACATGGATTGATCTGCAATTTTCCGACCACTCTCCCACATAATTCCGACTTCACACACAACAAGCAGTTAAATATACACTGGATACCCTCTCACTCTCTGGTGTCCCACTTCCTTACTTCGAAAACGATACGCTTTATTCCTTTTCGCTTGTTTATCATAAACTTGTGATTCAAAATATTATTTTTTAATTATATTAATTTGATTATATTGTATAATTGATTATATTGTATATCTTTGTCATTATTTATATTTATATAATTTCTTATTGATAATTTTTTGTATCGCTAAGTAAAACAATTCTTTTAATTTGTAGTTTTATATAAGAATTTGTACACACATAATCTTTTATAAAATAAGTATATATTCAAAAACTAATATAAAGCATTTAAAGATATAAAATGATTTATTCCGGGCAATATTACTACTTTATAAAATATTTTTACATATTAAACACACAGATGAGAATTATTATTAAATAAACATGATAATAATTGTATCTTTAAGGAAGCATATTTTCCATTACTTTTTTTAGTTAGAGTAACATATTTCGAACTTACCGATAGTCTTGATGATTTCCAAATCGTCAATGTCATATCGCGGCGGATCCTCTTGAGATCCCTCATCATCGGATGTAGTATCTCCCGACATCGTTTACGGAGTACTGTCGAGCCGAGCGTGGTCAGAGAAAGTTTCTGATTTATTTCTCCCTCGACACGTGGAAAGAAGAAAGGAAACCCCGGTTCAACGTTCCACACTGCGATATTCTTAGACCACAAACCGACGACGACTCGTTCTCATATCTGTTCTTCGTGACCTCTGCTCGTAACGCGCTCGTGGTTCTCGAAGTAGCTTTGTTAATTTCCAATGCAACGCGGGTGTAAATTAAAATGAATAAAAATTACCAGATACTTTGATTGTCTTTAAAAATATAATAAGCGTTTCCTGTATACTGTAAACTCTCTTGAAAAATATCTTTAACGCGGTCGGTATTATTTTCAAGAAGTGCTCCCGCAAAGTACTGCTTGAAAGCAAGTTGATACAAACGTTCCTGTCAACGATCCTCCTTCTCTCTACCTCTCACTCGGAGTGCGTTGATTTTTCATAAGTGTCATTTACCAGCGGCAAATGTGTATCGCAGTAAAACGCATGTTTGAATAAAGAAAACGAGTTTGCTTTCTATGTTTTCACACACGACAATGTGTTAAACAATTTTATCAGCGACTTTTATCTACGGAAAGGGAGAGAGAAAGAAAGACAGAGGGGAGAGGGGTGGAAGGAA